CTATCAAAAGTTATTCAAAAAATGGCCACTCGCCTTTTATTTTTTTTCGGACAATAGTTAGATCTACGATCCACGAGTACACGCAGCATTACGGTCATGTTTTCATGTGCCGTATACAGTTGAAAACGACCCTCAGAAGATCAAATATTTGCGTATCTGCTCAATAACGATCGTTTACGTGCGATCAAATACAGCCGTAATACTGCGCCTACGAAACGCGCGAAAAACTGTGAAAAACGGCTGTTTACGATCGTGCTGATTTAATCTAAGGAGGGTGAGGGTGAGTTTAATTGAATGAAAATGAAAGAGTTAAGATCTGTCGAATTATCTTACTTGTTCACGAAAAATACAAATGATTCTCGAAAGAATGTATCCACAATGGTTACGCCTCAATAAATACAAACCACTTATCGAATAACTATCACAAAATCAGAACAGGAATCGAACCCACATCTTTCAATAACCGGTCGGCTGCTCTACCGTTAAACTATCTGTTGCGATCGCCATTGTCCTTCGCACAGCTTCGGCTCTGATTTTTAGGCATGATGCACATCTTTGGTGGACATATGTTTATATTCCAATTTTCAGGGTCATTTTTTTCTTAGAGGCACAACCATGGGCTATTATCCTAGATGACCTGCTCAAAAATGGATTGTCTATCAAAAATGATGGGAAAGAGCTACTACTCCTAAATAGAAAATTATTTTTTGTTGCCTTCTACGAACGCAATCATATTCCCATTTTGTAATAAGCAAAAACTTTCATTCTGCACGTGCTAAAAACAAATGGTGTGATAAAAAAATTGTTTTTTTCGGTTTCTTTTCTGCACGGTTAAATGGTGTAGAAAAAAACACAGAACGCAAAACTACTGCTTTCGCTTATCTCGTTGCAAAACATGTCCTTCAGTTGAATTTTAGACGAAGCAAGAAAGTGTAGTTTCTTCGCCATTGTAACGATAAATAGAAGAAGATGATGTAATGACAGACTGGAGGAGTAGCTTACCGCCACCCTCGATAATGATGTTTATTAGCTACTTCACATCTCCAGAATGTGTCTATTGCACATTCAACACACACTTATATATGATACAGAAACAATGGGAGAGAGACGACACAGAGAGAACAATAGAGAAAGAAAGAGGAAAGAGGAAAGAAGAAGAGCAGCGAGCCGTGACGCATATATCGGCACAGCCATCATGTCTCTTTATCACGTCTCGCCTGCCCCTGTTAATCATGTGGAGGTCTTTCGACAGCAAGAGAATCAGCCATCGATTCCCTCGTCTTCTAGCTATGGGATAGATGCGCCTTTAGGCCTTTTGGCTTCAGCTTTGTCTTCCGCACTTTATCTATACGCCACACTAAGTGGCAAATTTCAGGTGTGGGAAGCATTCTTGCATGATATAACGAAGGATGTAGATTTAAGCAAGCCTTGTCTTGATTGTGGACGTGGAAGAGGAATGGTTCTCGTCATGCTGGCTCGTCTGAAGAAAGAATTAGCCAACACCGGCATTCAGACGTAAGTTAGACTCATCTTCTAGTGTTCTTAGTAAACCGCTGTCTCCTAGATAGACCCATCTCGCCAGCTTATTGTATCGACATCTTTAACAACCTCGATCAGACTTCTAACTCACCGTTTTCTACATTTCAAAACCTCGCTGCTATGGCCTTATTGGACTATAGCGTTCTACACAGTGGTACCTTCCTTGATCTTCCTTTCTCGGACGATTTCTTCAGTCTAACCACTTCATCTGTAGCAATTCATAACGTTTCTACTATAGAAGATAAACGACGCGCAACAAGATAGTGTGCTAGAGTAACAAAGCCAGGTGGCTGGATAGTGATCGTCGATCTGAAAGGGAGCGTGGCTCTTTACGAGGATACGCTACGAGAACTTGGTTGGGAAACAATAGAGCGTAAATGGGCAGGTATGAAAATGATGTATAGATTTTGGCCCTGTGAAATACTCAAAGCGCGCAAGCCACAACGAACAGCTTGACTATTTTCGTTTAATGTGGCTCTCATCAATTGTACACTGAATCATGCAACGACTTTGGAAAATTCGTCAAAGAAACGAAAAAGACTAAAACTTAATGCTTTACCCGTCATTCTTATCATGTTATCTTCGCCTAATACTTTTTCAGCTATTATCCCTCGTGTTCAGAAATTATTTGCTAATTGCTTCCCACCAGTGCACCCAAAATTTTTAAAAATATTATCGTTTTCGGCCCGACTAACGTCGATAGAAACATTGATGTCTAGGTATTAGTAAAATACGCTCTAACCCGCTCCAACCGCCGTTTAACTCGAAGATGTTATCAATTGATAGAGCTTAGAATTCTCCAATCTAAGCCATTCCTTTAAACATCTCTGAACAAAAAAATCAAACATCATTTCGAGCGGCCGACTCCAAGCCACTGTTCAATCTATTTTGACCTATCTATTTTTAGAGGTCAAACGTCACAGTTATTAGTAAAACTTAGACTTAAACTGAGAAAAGTTCGATACGAAATGTTTTCAAAGAAATTCATTTTCTCTTTTTCGTAGACTGTCGACCCTCCACGCGATTACTTCGAAAATTTAATATTGGACTTCTAAGTTTAACTCTAAGTTTTACTAATAAGTGCAATCTTTGATCTCTGAAAATAGATAGGTCAAAATAGATTGAAGAGTGGCTTGGAGTGGACCGCTCGAAATGATATTTGATTTTTTTGTTTAAGTTATATTTAAAGAAAACGGCTTAGAGCGGAATCTTCTGAATGAAGAATTCTACCCAAGTGAGCTAAAAAAGACGTGCGAGGGGTGCGCCGAGCCCTCGACCCATCGGAAAATGGCAAACCCAGGGGTCGATTTGAAATTTCGATGGGTCCAAGGCTAGATGGTGAGTAACTTGATAGTTAGCAGAAGCATAGGATCGAAGTTTTCGTAATATGTATCGTGGTGCTATCTGGAGCACGAGGTCTGCCCATCGGAATTTCAAATCGACCCCTGGGTTTGCCATTTTCCGATGGGTCGAGGGCTCGGCGATGGGTATCTTAGAAGACATCGACAGTGGAAAATCGAGGGGTCGAAATGCCTATCGGATGGTCGGTTGGGTAAGCTCTATCAATTGATAACATCTTCGAGTTAAATGGCGGTGGGAGTGGGTTAGAGCGTATTTTACTAACACCCTTGATATTTTTATCCAGAGATGCAGAATCTGTCGTTAAAATGAAAAATTCACCCCTACGAGCGTAGGTGCACACGGGTAGATTCTGCATCTCTGTCGCCATGTAATCGCCAGTCGAGTATCGACCTCTCAATCTTTCTTTTTTATTTAATTTCTGATAAATTAATATCATTTCATCTTGCCTTGGTTGTGAATCTGATTCGCGAACAAATGCTTTTTAATAATTGTTCATTTTCTATTTGACTTTTGTGTATTCGTCAAAGCAGAGATGATTTTAAATACTATACTTTGTTTCTATATCAAAGAAACGTCAATTTCTGCGTAGACTTTAGCACTAAACGCGTCCAGTTTTAATTGGACGCTCGACTAAATATCAAAGGGAACTACTCGAATCAAAGAAAGAAAGAGAATGAATAAAGGAACAATGCTCGAGATCGAGATTGAAGTAACCATCAGATTCGAAATGTTTTGCTGACTGAAAAAGGATTGATGGATATAATGAAGACGAACCTCGCATTTGATTCTCAATCGCCGAATTAGAAAATCATTTTGAATACAAGATCTGATGGAATTCGAATGAATGATGAAAAATTCGCTCTACTTCAGACGACGATGATCTCGATCAATTGGTTTTGAATAGTTTTAATCCTCCTTAGTGATTGTCAAACAAATCGACGTAGAGACAAATCCAATCAAATTCTATTTTTAGCTCATCTTGACCCTTTTTTGATCCAAGTCTTTGTCAAGATCAAGTGTGAATAAAAGAAAACCTATGAGAGAATAAACATTGAACATTATAAAATCGACATGATAAATATCATCGTTCAAATCAATCTCGAGATGATTCCTCAATGTTCTTTGAATTGTTTGATTTCAACGAATCTTTCCTTCAAGAAGAGTTCATTGGCAATGAATTCAAGTAGAGAATTCACTGAAAATGAAAGAAGATCAATCGTGAAATGTTTGTTTTCGAAATGAGATGATGTTTTGGCCATCTGTCATCGATCTCACTGTGTTCAATGTCAATGTCCAACAAAAGAATTCGATCCGATACCAAAGGAAAAATAGTGAAACGTACATTCATTATCTATTTCTAGTGAAAGAATGATGTTATTCCTGCTATTACACAGTGCGATTGTTGCTCTCATATGGTAAGCAGTGGGAAACATTACGCCTTGAGTATTTTTGCAATTATATCACCTTTTCTCGGCCCTTATGATTGATTATTTGTTTGAATATCAAATATTTGGTTGTAACATAAGTTCTGCAAGTTTTTCTGGTCTGTTAACAAATTCATTTCACTACCTTATTCGAATCAGAACTGGTTAGTTTTTAGGGTGTGGGTTTGGGGTGTGGGGTAGGGGTGTGGGTGTGAGTTTGGGGTGTGGATGTGGATGTGGGTGTGGGTGTGGGTGTGGATGTGGGTGTGGGTGTGGGTGTTTCTCCTCTACTAACCGTCACACCCACACCCATCCACACACCCATACCCATCCACACACCCACACCCACACCCACACCCACAACCACACACCCCATCCGCACCCACACCACCCTTATTTAACCCTTTGACGACGGTGGAACATATAGTATCTCACCATGTTCACCAAAGGCTAATAGGTCAATCTTCCTTTTGATTTAAATATAAACAATTATTCTTCCTCAGAGCTGAGAACAACAGATGGAGTTATGGAACACTAAATATTTTTACAAACTTCACCTATTACATAATTAACGAATGAAGATTATCCCTCAATTGTATATACACATCTATTTGAGGTCGTCTTTTCTTCTTCTTTGCTTCTTTTGTTGCCTGTGTGTTCTTCTTCAAATGCGTCTTTTGTCAATAGATTGACTCATTTTCTATTCTTTTAACTTGAGGACATATATCATGTTCGTTTTCTCTTTTTCTGTTAACTTGAGGGTATTTTTTGATATTTGCCTTCTTAGAAAGAACAGAAATATGACTTTTTTCCTTTCTCTCTTTTCAGTATAAAATTCTTTTTCTAAATAAACTATTGATTCTTCCGTTTCACTTCGCTCAAAAAATTCATTCCTAGTCTCAATCCTGTTCGTTCATTGAGAAACCTTGGAAGAATTTGCCAGGATTCTAGTGGTCAAGGGTCTTATTAAGTTTTCGCTAGGATCGTATCTGCAATCATAGTGGTGCTTATTTTCAGGATGAGTGTGGGTGTGAATGTGTCAGTAGAATGAGTATTATCTCATTGGTGCATAAGTTCTGCACGTTTTGTTTTTGTTTTTTAGGCAAATTTGAGGTTTTTATCTCATGAATGGAAAGAGATCGAGATATAAAGGCTGAAATTTGTCTAAAAAACAAAAAAAAACGTGCAGAACTTATGTACCAATGGGATCAAACCAATCAAAAGTTAGGAAGACGCCTTTCGATTACGCTTATCTAAAGTTATCAATTGCTAATGATTTTGAGGAATCACTTAGTGTTTTTTTGCATGTTTCGTTTGATATGTTGAAGAGATTCACTTGGTTCAGAGGTAGTTGGAGACATTCGAACATAAGCTGAAATTGAAAAAGTGAAAATATGATTGAACCTTGGTTAAAAACGAAATCTTGAATTTTCATTATGGAAAATGATTCTTTTTATTCATAACAATATTTTAGCTAGAAAAAAAGCTCTTATCAGTTCAATTTTATGGTTCATTTTGTCGTTGAATGCATAATTTGAGCTGCTCCCAGAGCTCTTGTTTTACCAGTTGGATGATGTTTTTTGGTGTCGTTCTTCTTCTAGCAGTTGTTGGACTAAATTGATTTGTTCATCTAATTGATCTTGTATCTAATGCGAAAAGTACCTCAAGTGTTCAATCGCTTTTTTGTCGAAATATACATGACTGTATGCAGTTCGCTGCGCTGATTCCGAATATCAGGTTCTTAGTAGCTCTAAGGCCTTTCTAGATCCCATGTCATTACTCTGAACCTTTTTACGATAAGGATGTTTCTCATCAAATTAAGTCCTTTAATCACTCTACTATGTATCACTAGACAAATTATCTATAGGAATACTTTTTTATAGACACTTCAATCGTAAGTTTCAAAAGCTAAAATGGACTGTACGAAGAAGAAGACTAAATATACAGGTGTCCTTATGGAGTTATTATTTTTCACAAAATGAGAGGATCAAGAAATAATTTTATCTTATCTTATGTATTGCATTACATAATCTGGCTCTATTAGCCGCTTGTGTTGGAAAAATATCCTCACACTACCAATGTTTTATGTTTTGAGAAATTAGCATACGTGTTTTCTATTTCTCTTATTGTTATATACTTTATTGCATAGAGCACAGTATTGATCGATTTGTGAATATATGATGAAGAAACAAAAAGAAATGCCAAACGACTGTTTGAAGTCAATATACGAATTACTTCGCTGCTTTATAGCTTAGTATTAGAAACTGAAGGTTGAGATGTCTATGAAAAAAGTATTTCTTTGCATATTTTGTCTGACGATAGATGGTAGAAGGTGTGGTGTGAGTTTTCATGCTCTTTTCAACCACACTTACATTTACCCCTCACACTTGCTATATATCTAAAACTATTCAGAAACAATTTATTCAATTAATTGACGATAGGATTGTTAGGTCAACAGTTCATGGGTGATGTAATAATAGGATATAGGGGGTCTTACCTTACGCTCAGGAACAAACGTGATCAATTCAGGAGGGGATGTGAGATCAGTTCAAATGGACGATTTATTTCATGAAGACGAGAAACACACACAAGTGAAGTGGTAGTGAATGCTACTGCTCTTCACCAAAACAAAATAGCAACTGAACTGTATCGAAATCGGAAAAAATTCTGCAGAGAGAGATAGACAGAACGAAAAAGAAAAATCTTACTATTGAATGAACGAAAGAGAAAAATCCAATTAACTACAGAACGAAAAGGGAGACTGACAAATGAGAAAATATGAAGAAGGTACCAATTGAACTTCGTTCAATTAAGTTAGCGTCGACATAGTGTCATCTGTTGACGCTAACAAGGATGATTCAACAAGTTGTTGTAGAAGTAAAATAAGCAAGATTTTTCATAATTTTTTGGGATGAAACAGATTTTTCAACATTAACTTAACAGTCATATTTTCTTATACTATTGTGATTTTTTACTAGCCGATATTTCCAAACAAAACGACAGGTAAGACTTGAAATATCTATGTTGTCTAATGTGTTGACAAAAGACGATTTTTTCGCAACATCTAAACAGCGTACTAACAGCTAGTAGTTCTGATGGTCATTAATTAAACATTTTTATTCCTTCATTGGATGATGTTCTCACCTCGATTCAAGATTGATTTCAAAATCATGCTAAGCAAGCATTTGCTATATCATGTACTATTCCAAAATATGTTCATGAGAAAACATTCTATAATTTAGCTTTAGGTGTTCAATTATATGAGTGTTTATTACCAGATTCATTAACTGGCGTGAAATCTGCATTCATTCAATGAAAATAAAACCATAACAACATCATTAAACAACAAAACACCAACAACAAAGCGAAAATCAAACCCATTATGTTCAAACATTATCAAAGATATATTCAATATTAACAGTGAAAACAATGTCTACCGGATGGATATTTTTGATACTAAAGCTTATAAAAACGTACTTGCGCTCTACCATGAGCGAAATACAACTTAATGGTTTTGTAATATTGTACATATAAAGGAACATGTTGATAAATATTGACGCAATGCGTAATAAATTTTATAACTTTCTTTGTATTTGAAAATAATAATAAAGTATCTCACTGGTGTATACGATTGAGCTCACTTTATCTTAATGTACTAGAAGAATTAAAACTCATATTATCTAGAAGGCACTCAAAAAACACTGCCCTCATTTACACAATTCTTAGATCCACCACTACAAAAATCACCATTTTCTCAATAGATCGCCCAATAAAGCAGTTTTGTACTAAAAAGATACTAATACAATGTCATCTGAATCTGTTCTACACACAAAGCTTTCCATGAAGTATTCGAAGTTATTCTAGAATTGACAATCGATGAAGGACATCCATTTACTTTTATTGATTCAATCATCGGTCAAGAAATGCATCTTGAATACACTCCTCGTCCACTAACATCGCCAACAGTGGATATCGAGACAATTAGCACCATGATTCCATACTTTGGTTTGTCCAGTGAGGCGAACGGTAAACATGTTGCATCAGCATGAACTAAGCAGTACCCGTGAATAAAAAAATTAGCACAAAAGGTTGAATTCCAGAAAATCTTCAAGCAGATGTCGTTTATGAAGCACCGTGGTCTAACTGCACTCATAGCTATATCAGAAAGACGTATCGGTACCTAAACAAAAGAATACAAGAACTTTTGACAAATGTAAAACGGTTCTTACAGAAAACGATACCTCAAATGTCTAGCATCAGAAAACATAATAACCCATCAGAACCACTATCTACCGTTAACAAAGGACTAAAGACGCAATCACGAACAAAGAAATCACTCCTTAAAACAGGATGACATTGAAGAACTTTCTTTTAATATAACAAAAAAATATTCTTCTATCGCATAACGTTGAAGAAGAAACATAGCTGCAGAACAATATCTTCCTTTCTATTAACATAAATTGTCAGTCGAACATGGATGATTCAACAAAATGCTAAGACTATTCATGCACAGATTCATCTCAAATTACATAGCTTCTCTCCAGTTTGTCCCAAGCATCACTTATATTTCGATCACAATGCATCATCCATTCTCATAACACATCAAAATATACAAGTTGAGTTGATGATGACGAAAAAAAATGAATGTATTGAAAATTCACTAGCTTATTGAAATAACAAGTTTTAGTTGCATTTTCTTTTATTTTTGATTAGTAGAAATTATTGACCGTAAGTTATTTTTCTAGGCAGAATGCAAAACAACAAGGTAATAAACAAAAAGAGTCGAGATATAACACTTCTGTCGAAATGTTTATGTGTATATAATGAAATAAAAAGTGTTCCGTCTCTTTTTACTCGCTTTTGTACTTTTTCACCCTTTCTTCAGAGATACTTCATCGACTTTATAAAAGTACATCCATCATCAATGTACTATTAAAGTAGCCTGCCGGGTGAATTTTTAACTCACACAGGGTTGGCGACCCTGGGCTGCCGGTAGCCAAATTGTCGGACGGTCGTGCTAGCAACTCGTCAGTCAGACTTTAAACCCAACTTGCTACAGAAAAGAAGAAAAACAAGTGCGCGAACGCACATCACAGTGTCTTCTTCGGAGGCTGGAATGTTAGAACTTGTGTCAAACAATCAAAGAAGGAACTTATTATGAAACAATTACAAAAATATCGTATTCAAATTGCTGCATTAAGTGAAACGTGTATGTATGATTGTGGAGTAAAATTAATAAATGACTTTACATGGATTTTCTCTGGATTACCATCAGTAAATAAAACTCGAAATGCTCATGGTGTAGCTATCTGTTTGGATAAAGCAGCTGCTAAGGTATGGAAAGATTCTGGTTCGGAGTGGGAAGCAGTGAGCGAGAGGATCGTAAAAATTAGGCTGAAATGTTTATTTGTAAATTTGACTATTATTTCTATATACTCTCCTGTGAATCCAACTAACAACCAAATGAATGATGCTAGTCAACAATTTTATAACGATTTACAAGATGTTATTAGTCGAATTCCAACTGGAGATATGTATATTATCATGGGTGATTTTAATGCAAGAGTGGAAGGGAAAAAACAACAACAGCAAAATTTATGTAATAGTATTGGTCCTTACACAGTTGACATTACAAATGAAAATGGAGAAAAGCTGATTGATCTATGTACAATTAATAGTATTATAGTTACGAACACATTCTTTAAACACAAATTAGCACATCAAACGTCATGGATGCATCCAGGAAATAAACAATGGCATATGATTGACTACACATTAGTAAATAAGAAATTTAGATCGAGCGTCGAAGACTGTCGTATGTATAGAAAAGCTGCTGGTGCAATTGGTACAGATCATCATTTAATGCGAATAAAAATTAAACTACACTTCAAAAGTAGAAGGAAATTAGTTCAGAAGAAAGTAGTTTATGATCCAATAAAAATGAAAAATGATAATGCATTAAAACAATTTCAAAAAGACCTCATTCCAACACTTTCCGATGCAACAGATGAAACAATTAGTATTGATGAAAAATATGATCGATTTGTTGAACATATGAAAACAAATGCAGAGAAAACTTTTAAAATAGATAAAAACAAAATTCGCAAGCGTAAAGAATGGCTTACTGATGAAATACTAGAAATTGTAGAAAAGAAAGCAACAGCTTTTGTTAATTGGCAAAATCACCGAGGAACAAAATTAGAAATTGAATATGCTAATAAATATAAACGTTTAAGAAAATTAGCAAAGACCAAAATTGATAAACGTCAGACAGAGTATTGGGATGAAATATGTGAAGAGATTGAGTCTTCTATTAAATTAAATGATCCAGCAAATGCATTTAATATTATTAGACGCCTTAGTGGTAAAATGAAGAGAGTGGAGAATATGGCGATTAAAGATAAACATGGAAAACTGATTTTAAACTCAACTGATCAATTGGAACGATGGAGAGAATTTTTTGATGAATTACTTAATGTTTCATCATCAGTAGATCTTCAATTAATTGATCAAATTAAAATACAAAGCATAGAAAAGAAAGAAGAAGAACGTCAAAATGCTCAACCTACAATACCTGAGGTAAGAAAAGCTTTGAATCAAATGAAGTCAAGAAAAGCTCCGGGTTACGATGGAATTACTGCTGACCTTCTTAAAGCTGGCGGTGAACCAGTTATCAAGTGGCTACATGAAATGTTCAGTGATGTATGGAAACAAGAGAAAATGGTAGAGGAATGGAATTTAGCAGTTTTGATTAAATTATTTAAAAAAGGTGACAAACAACTCTGTGACAATTACAGAGGTATTTCACTTCTCAGTGTGACTAGTAAACTCTTCTCTCGTATTATTCTGAATCGTATTCAAATCCTGGTCGATCGTCAACTATTGGAAGCACAGTCTGGATTCAGAACTAATAGATCTACAATTGATCAAATCTCTATATTAAAATTATGTATGGAAAAACGTAGAGAATTTAACAAGCCCTTATTCATGTGTTTTATTGATATATCAAAAGCGTACGATTCTGTTAGTCGTGAACTATTATGGAAAGTATGCAGGAAGTATGGAATATCAGAAAAGCTAGTCAATCTTCTAAAAATGCTTTATACAAATTCAAAAGCAAAGGTGAAAATGAATGGTGAATTCTCGGATAGCTTCGAAATTTATAATGGTGTAATGCAAGGAGGCATTCCCTCTCCAATTTTATTCAATATTCTATTTGATTTTATCATCAGGAAGGTTATCGAAGAAGCAGATGTGACAGGTGTACAATTTTCTTATGGAAGAAATGATTTTTTTCACGGCACAAAAGAAAAGTATTTGAACTTCGACATTTTGGCTTTAATGTACGCAGACGATTTAGTCGTCATGTGTGAGACATCTGATGATTTAAAGACATTCATTGAAACTTTTGAAAAAATTACTCAAGAATACGGGTTATCAATGAATGTGAAGAAAACGTGTATTATGACATTGAAACAACTGGAAATTGATCAAAATAATAAAATTATACACAATCATGAAGTTGATCAACCTGATTTTGATATTAATATTAGAAATCAGAAGGTAGAAACTGTAGAATTCTTCACTTATTTAGGTTGTGGTGTATCAAGAGATCAAAAACCTGATGAGGAAATCAACACAAGATTAGTGAAAGCATCCACTGCTTTCAATATGCTACGCAGTGTTATCTGGTACAGAAAGACGATTTCAATTAAATCTAGATTGAAAATATATAGAGCATGTGTACTACCAGTGCTGCTGTATGGAAGTGAAACTTGGTCAATCACTAAAACACATGAACAAAGAATTAACACATTTTATATGAAGTGCCTTAGAATAATCATTGGTGTCAATATAGGTGATCGTATTTCAAATGATAAAATTTTAGAAATCACTGGACAGCCATCAATTGAAAGAATTCTACGTCGAAACAGATTAAGGTGGTTTGGTCATGCGAACAGAATGATGAACAATGATAATGAACCATCTGTAGTGAAAAAGATCACGTTCTCTTATTTTCCAGAAGAGAAACGTCCTGGTAACATCGGCATTAGGAAAAGGTGGGAGGATAAAGTGAAAGAGGATATTGAATACTGTCAGATTAAAAATTGGAGAAAAGATTCTTTAAACAGAGATCACTGGAGAGAATTAATTAACAAAAATGTACACAGCAGACCTGTACATCAAAATATTAAAGAAATCATTTACGAATATAAACAAAGAGCTGTAAATCGAAGAAATGATGACTTGGCTGCATCACACGGAGTGGTCAAAAGAAAAGCAACGGAAATTCTTGTTCAAAATACAAATAATCATTATGCCTGTCCTGGTTGCGGAATTCAATTTAAACCTCAAGGAATTACGAATCATGTAAAGGCGTGTGTTAATGCTCAAGTTTGGTGCAAGAACAATAAAATTAAATAAAGAAATTCTAAATGGAATGGATTGCAAGGAATTGGAAATGATCTTCGAATGATTGTAAGACACCTTTTGAACTTTGTGAGTATGGTCCATGACGGAGTCCATTTAAAGCTGGTTTACCGGAGGGTGGTCTCCTGATCTCCACGTTCTCATTGTCAGTCGAGTTCTAACAATATGGCCGTCAAAGAAGACAAAAACTCTAACTTTGCTAATAGCTATTTTTTTGTGTATTTTGTGTATTTTTTTCTTCTCACCCTACACCGGGAACGGTAGCGGGTCTAACTAACTAACTAACTATTAAAGAAAAAAACAGAAACGGTACTCCCTAAGTTAATACATATCAATCTTTTGTTAAACATGACATTTGATGATATTCTTGTTGTCGTTAGAAGAAGAAACGGTATATAAGAAGATGTTTAATACAGCTAAAAACAAATCGATAACAATAATGATACTGATCATTTTCAGTGCAGTTGTCTGCCTTACATTTTCTCAATCAACATCACCACAGCCGCCACCAGGTTTTGGTCCACCACCGAGTCACTGCTCTCCTCTAAGCAACTGTAATTTAGTATGCCCGTATTTCTTTCGTTTTAGCAAAGATAGATGCGAAATCTGCCAATGTCGTTCATCACCATGCATCAATGAAACAGCAATCTTACCCAACGTAGAATGTGATCATACACAAAACGGACCCAAATGTCCTTCGAGTCATGATTGCGTTGTATCACGTGGTCGTCCACCTCGACCTCCTTCAACTGGTACGCTCCCTGCTACTCGACCACCACCGCCACCACCAACAGCACGTGGTGTTTGCTGTATTCATGTTGATTTCGCAGCTTTGGGATTACCACCACCACCACAACATCAATAGAAATACCAGAACTAATACCTATGAGTACTCTTGCTATTTTATGCGTATTTTTTTTCAATAAATAACAAATATCCTGATACATATGTATTGATCAATATCCAACTATCTCTTCCACTAAAGCGTTTCACCGTATTTATGCCGCATGTTTTTTAAGTTCAGGATGCCCACACACTCTTTGGAATGCTATTAAGACACCTTGGATTTAATATTGAAATGTTCACTACGTTACATTCAGTCCAATAGATAGAGTCTGATTCTGATGCGCTCTCGTGCTTTAAATGAAATTTGAAGTATTTGAGAAAAGACAATATTAAAATTTATTAGCGAATAACTCTTTAAATTTATGATGAGCAAATCCTCGAGTTTTAAAATAAACTCCAAGTAATTCACTAAAAAATACTAGTACTACATGAATCTATTATTCGAATAAGGATTTTATGTATGACTGTGACAAATGCACCTGTTATACATGTCCATGATATCTACATTGGATCTTGACTCTCTATTATCTATGTCGAGAAGGTTACGAACACTGACATTGATTATTTTCCAACGCCATAACTTGATCATCTAATAACTGTGATAATGCAATGCATTACTACTCATCATTCTTGACATCTTGAATCTTGAGTTATATCTATGCAATAATTAAAAACTGCATCATTTAGAAGTCGCATAGGTTCGATTTAAAACTTATAATCACTGCTTTCTTGGAAAATATATATGAGCTCCACAACATCTTTCAATTTTAAGATATTCAAATGCATACAGATGGACAGGCTTATAGATAATCAGCTGTTTAAACAGGCAATAATAATAAATATCATTCATATTTTATTAAAACAATAAACTTGTCTAACAATGTACATATACTTGTTTTTATTCAAAAAAAAACTAGACTGAAATATGTAATAAATGGCAAAAAAAACCGATGAGCTTTGACTGTAAATATCAGACATCAACAAGAACATAACCACAAAAATGAATGTTCGTTTGTTTTTTTTTTCATTCAGCTTTTATTCAACTGACTTATTCGATCATCAATGTGTTGTAATAAATTTGTCATAGAGTTCATTTGTTGTTCAACTGATGTTAAACGTTCATTAAACATTTGTAAATGTTCAAGAACAGTTGTTTGACCACTACGAGTTTGACTAGATGAACGATTTACACGATATCGTGATACAAAACTATTTTGATTCGTACGTGATGATATCGTATTATCACGTGATGAAGGTACATAACCAAGTGTTGCATCAAGTCTTAAGAAAAAATGAAAAGAAAAGATCAATGATTGATTGATTTTGCTTTGTTAAACTAATTATTACTTTCGTTGTAAATCTTTTAATCTTATCATTAATGCTTGATTATCTTCAGCTGTTTGTTTAACAAGTTCTGTCATATCACTTGGTTTTCTTGCTTCCTTGATTTCAAATAGAAAAATTTAATAGAACAAACACTTTTATCGAAAATTTACCTGAAATTTTCGACGTGCAACAAAAAATTTCATTCGTCGCATAACACGAATAGCTTGTTTAAATTTTTCTGGTAACCTGTAAAGAATTAAATTTATTTGAATTAATATCCAATCAAACAAAAACAAAAAGAAAATACTCACTGATCTATTCCTATCTTATTTGCTAACGGTGAACTATCCAATGATGATTGATCACCTTTATTACAAAAGTCAAAATTCTATTGAATAAATATTTATCAAAATTTTTTTTACCAAAATTATGAGCAGCAGATCGTCGTCGAAGTAAGGAATTATAACGTGATCTTGATATCATTTTTTCAGCTATAAAATAGAAAATCAAGTTCGTTTATTTTGAAAAAAATAAATATTCAAACCAAAAGTAGGATCAATAAGTTTATAGAGACGCCATGTTGCATTATCTTGTTGAGGACGACTGGTTGCATACATACGCCATGCTGTTTGAATTAATTGTGCTGCAGCTGGATATTGTTTATGATACATTTTTTGTTTTTCTTTTTGTTGAACATGTAAAGCAAAACCAGATCCTTGAATAAAAACGAACTTAATCACAAAATCCTTAATCTAGATACAAACCTAAAATGCCCTAAAAATAAATAAAAGATAATATTATTAAATTAAATAAGTAGATTACTTACTGCTGGTAAACTAAAAAAAGCAATACCAATCATAGATAAACAAGCTGTTACAATTCGTCCTGCCCCTATTGATTTCAATACCAAAAGAAAAGAATTTAAATCTCGTTCTGCCTTCCTTCTTGTAACTTACATGTATGTGGCACACGATCTCCATATCCAATTGTAGCAACTAAGACAATTTTTTGATAAATAAATATATTGGTTGAATGATATTTCCTACCGGTTACAATACCAAACCAAAGTGCATCAGCATAAGATTCAAATGGTTTCTTTCCTTCTATAATATAATCTCGTTCAGCCAAATAAACTAAATACGACGTAATAATAAGTACAATAAAACCCATATACATTGTTGTAATTAATTCAATTCGATGAAGATATGCTACATTAAGAAGAAGTTTCCATGAATGTGCTTTACGATCAACATGTAACATGCGTAAAATTTGGAAAAAACGAATTATTCTAAACATCAACAGTTCAATTTATCTAAGAAAATGATCTTTTTATTTTTACCGAAGTGCTGGCGATGCTGCCATCACTAAAAGAAAAAAAAACAAACAATAGACATATACATTATATATATTATACGATCAGACAAAAATTACAAAATATAAATAAAAAGATTTTAGCATAACCTATGTGAAACTAAAGCATAGGTCTGTGAAGATTGTGTCATCGTAATATTATTACCTGGATTCGTTGAACTGATTCGACCCGTAATATGAAATCCAATAACAATCGATGAAGCAAAAACAACAAATAAATCAATCAAACTAATTGGTGTTCTCATAAAATGAAACCTTCCAATCCAACCTTTAAATTTAGCACGGCAACCCGCTGACCATACACGTATAACATATTCCGATGCAAAGAAAATTACCAAACAAATTTCCTAGAACAAGAAATCAAGCAATTTTTTATCGTTAAAGAAATTTTTTCTCTTATTTTCAAATTTTACCACATAAATAAATTTTTGTGTTATTTTTTCTTCATATTCACCTATGGTACATATAACACCGATGACCAAACAGGAAAGAACAATAAGAAACCTACGAAATAAATTCAATTTTTATTTTATTCAGTTATTTTGTTTCTTTTCATTATATCAAATCAAGAACAATAGCTATATAAAACATGCAAAAAAACACAAGGAAACGTATTCTCATACAAACAATCAACTTACGACTATTTATATTCATCAGTGTTGTTTTTGTACTATAAAAATTCTTTTTTTTTTCATGCTTTTTTTTAAATATATCAAAAATATTCTTTCTCTCAAATACTTACTTACACCAAAAAATGATAGGCAAAACAAATCCAACCACGACTAGGTCGTTCTATTAGAAAAGAAATTTTTGAAATATTGTATTTTTATTAACTTAAAGGTTGTTTTTTTAATACCAAGAAAATTGTAAACTTTCTTTTGAAATATTTTCATATCCATACCAAAATACAATCCATCATCTGATCTCATTATCTATAAATAGACATTGTCGATATGTCTTTTTTTAATGTATCAAATGAAAAAAGAAAAAGAAACTCAATACAGATGGTTTTTATTATTCAAAAAAGAAAGAAAACTAATAATACATTATCAAACAGATTGATTTATTCGATCAGTACATAATTTTTCAATGTCATCTAAACTAAGATGATCGACCGTATTTTTCATTTCCTATAAAACATTGAAAATAAAAAAATATTTCATTGATTTATTTATTTTTATTATTATTTACTCTTTGAAAAGCGTTCACAAATGCTTCACGTTCATTAGGATTTTGAATCCACTTTGATGCAAGTAAATGAAGTTCATTTATAAATGCAGTATTAACTGGTTTCGTTGATGTTGTTGCATGTTGTGTTGAAATAATTAAATGTAATTTTGAACCATCTACTATTTGATAATCTCGTACTGAGCCATCATGTAATGGTTTACCTTTGAGAACTAATTTTTGTTGACTTATTGGAATATTTAATTGATCAGAAAGACGAGATTTGATTTCTTGTATTGTATCAAGTGGAGATACCTGAGTTTTGAATTGTTTCATTAAACAATAATACTAATAATAGATAAATGACACTTACTTGTAATTGAATTTCGGCTAATGCCGGATTGTTAAGTACTTTAATATGAATTAACATCTAGAAATGAGCGCATATCCTCATAAATACAATTTGTTTATTTCATGTTTCTTTTTTCTCTCTTAGATACATAATACTCAGTTAGATATTTATCTCTAAAACATAGAAATATATATAGCTGAAGAAAACAAAAAGAACTAGTAAACACAAAGAATTGTTTCGAACAAACTCACACTGCTTGATCAAATAAACAAAACAAAAGTACATAGAGAGTCAATAATTATCTCCATGATGAAGACGATCACACGATAATAATAATAATAGTAATGATACGGAAAAGAAGAAAAATAATAGGAAGAGTAATTAACAACACAAATGATCAAGAATAATATGAAAGGAAAAGAAGCCGAAATAAAAAATTTAATCTCGTTCATCGATTTGTGATAAGGGTGCAGGAACATTGTCAGTAGCACCTTGACGGTGTCGTTTAGCAGCACGTAATTTTGCAATACGTGATTTTTCTGGTGCAAGATGATTGATATTTTCATCATCATCAGCATCGGCTCGACGTTGAGCATGATTAGCTGCAGCAACTAAACACATATATACAAATATTAACAAAAACAAAATCTTATTCTTCATCATAAACTTACTCTCCACCTTAAATAGAAAAAGAAAAAAAAGATTAACACACTAATAAAAATTATTTAAAATTTTCTACATACACGCATTTGTTCATAATTTTCAGCATCAAGCATTGGACGAATATCAATTGGTGTTTCAGGTACTGTACCTGTAAACCATGGACATCTAAGAATCCAATCGATAGTTACACGAGAAGCTGGATCAACTGTAAGCATTTTTTGTATAATTGATTTTGCTTCTTGTGAAACATTTTTCCATTCAGATTTTGGAAATTGATATTCACCAGCTTTTATTTTTGTTTTCATTCCAGCACTAATAGCACCACCATGTGTGGAAAAAAATGGAGGGTAACCACATAATAATATATACATTATTACACCCATCGACCAGATATCACATGCCTTTATTTTGAAACAAAAAAAAGAGTTTAAATTTATTTTATATAAAAACGAGAATAATTGATTACTTTATCATATTTATCATTTGATAAGATTTCTGGTGCGACATAATACGGAGTGTAACTATAAAAAGAAAAATATATAATAACAATATAATTTTTTGCTTAATCCGAGTTAATTCTTTTCTTAAGAAAAAGGACTCTTGATGCAATGCTTTACGAGAATGTATCACAAGTTTTGCTACTAAATGTTAAGTAGAAAAAGTAGATAAATAATACGTTGAGGCTCTGACTTACTTAAATTTAGACATGTGAAAAATCAGTTGTTTTGGGGTTTGAAAAACTCTATCTTTTGACCATATTACTAGAATTATACAAAAATTACTGTTTCGGACTAGTGATTTTGAAACTCCCAGAAAAATTATCATCAATTGAACAAAAAAAAATGCATGAATACAACTCAGCTTTATTTCAATGTCAAGAGAAACAAATGGTGCATCAGACTGACGTGTCAGAATTTGAATAGGACTTTTTATTCGAGTATATTACGTTAAAATACTCCATTAAAACGAACTTCACTGTATATCATGAGAAAAATTGCGCTTGTTTGTTATACTTTTAAACACCCTCTGTCATATTATTAAATTTGTATAAAGAAAGTTAGAACTTCGTAGTATGATTTATCTAACTTTTCAACTTGAAATTTCATAAAAAATTGTACTGTGAAACCTTAAAAAAATACTTCGAGGTACACTTATTCTAATGCACTTTATTATTATTTGACCTTTATCTCAAGGACATTTTCTCACTTTTCTCTAAGAAAGATTTATAAGACAAAAGCAATTAATCCATTCTATAAAAAAGTATTCTCCTACCATGGAGTATTTAATGGACGTTGTTCATTGTTTCCTTAAAAATAAAATGACATATATATATACATTAATTAAACTCAATTCTTAATATACCTTCTTTAGCAAATCCGAAATCAGTTAACTTCAATATAGCAGAGTCAGATGTATCGGTAAAAAGTAAATTTTCTGGTTTAAGATCGCCTGTGTTTAAATTAAATAAATAGAAACAAAAAAAATTAATTGCACTTCAGAAACAAATCACTCACGATGAGCCTAAAAAAGAAAAATAATAAAAAGAAAAGCAAAACAAAATCTAGATCTATCTTACCATATCCATGTGATGTAAATGTGCTACAGCTTTAGCAATCATTAAAATAACATGTGCTGCTTCACGTTCTGTATATGGTTTATCTTGTCGTTCTCGAATACGATTAAATAATTCTCCACCTTCCATACTAAAAAGAAAAACATGATGATTCATTAATCCTATGTACGAAAAAAAAAACAAACCATTCCATAATAATTAGTAAACATCGATTCGATGCATACATATTTTCCTTTAAAAAAAAACAATATTTAGAAAAATTTGTAAAATTAAAAAATATGTTTTCAACGTACATATACATCCATTACTTTCACAATATAATCACATCCTTCACAAGCTTTTTTATGTAAGATAACTTCACGTCGAGCTTTATCTGAATCTTTCAAAATCTATAAAAACAAATAGTTATTAAGAAAAAATTTTTCACAAAAAACTAATTTACTTTTAATGCACATTTACGCCTTGTTTCACGATGCCAACAAGTAAGAACTTTACCATTAATACCAACACCTAATGATTCTTTTGATACTTCATATTGATCTGTAACAGCATTGCGATGTGTTGGAAATGGAAATTGACGATATTTTTCCGAGATATTTGATGGTCTAAATAAATAATTTTATTTATTTAATTTTAGTAAGAAAACAAAAACAAAATCATAATTTATTCTATTCAAATGTACATAGTATTCTATTTTACTTACATATTTTCACTCATATGGATAGGTGTTACACCAGATTTATCTTGTTTCTGCTGCTGCTGCTGCTGCTGCTGCTGCTGAACTTTTGTTTCATCAGTAGGATTCACAGAAGATGAAGTATGATTTCCTTTTCTATATTTTCGAAACAGATCTCGGAGGCCCATTTAAAATTATTTTCTATCTTGAATAACTATGAAATTTTCGAGAAAATATAGTAAAAATAAAAGCAACTCTGTACAATGAGATTAATAAAAACCATATGGTTTTATTCTCATTTAATGTCAACACGTCATATTCTGATGATGATGCCTATCATCACTTTTGTTTTCCACTTTACTATCGCCCACATGCTGTATTCATGTGTCAATACAGCATATATGAGGAATTAGGTATATCAAACTAGTGCGGTATTATACAAACGATCATAAATGACTTACATCTTTTTTCTTTTCGTTTTTGAAGGATTATTAGACATACTTATTTTAATGTGTTCTATGCGCGTTCGTCATCATCATCATCATCGTTATACTTCATTACTTTTATTGGTTCTATGTAATTTATACAGTATCTCGTAAAATTTGTGGAAATACCATATTATTTACATAGAGAAAAATAAAAATAAACTACATACTAAAGCGAAATCTTATTTTTCTATTATCTTACATTAGTTCTTGATTCATCCCTTGAAAATATTTTTAAAAAAATCAAAGAGGTAAGATGTCATTATATACTCTCTTCACTAACTTCAATTTCTTCATGACATTTTATAGAAGAAAAAAGGAAAAAAATTGACGTAGAATATTAAATTTCAACAACAGCAGCAGTAGAAACACGAAAAAAAAACAACCCTTTCTATTATAATTGCAATAAATAAAACACGTTTTTATTGCTTTTTTTCTTTGTTGAAAAACATCAATGTTTACTTGTCTTATTCAACTCTAATCATGACTACCTACTTTTTGCTCGATGCTGTTTTTTTGTCTGCCATTAAAGTCGCAATATAAATTGTCTTAGACAAAGAAAGAGAATCAAATTAAATCTAAAGGTAACCATATAAACAATAGAAAATTTCAAATGATTTATTTTGAAACAAAATTATGAAAATTTTTATTACATCATGAATGAAATATTTTTTTTCTCTCATGTTTCTATACATAGAAATGACATCAAGGCAAAAACAACAACAAACGAAACGGAGAAAAAACAGAACAAACACAAAAATGACGAATGAATGACATCGAAAACATGAATTTATCCTTTATTTAAATTATGATTAATAATAAAAAAAATCGAATATTTTATTCGAATGATTTTATCATTTTGAAAAATTGTCAAAAAAAGATAAACAAAAAATAAAAATTTCAACATTGATAGCGCTATAATCATAGTAGTCATTTTCAACCAATGAAAATATAACTTGTCAGCTGCTTATTCTTTACTATCATATTGTTATTATTTCGTCTAAATAGTGCAA